TCCGCGTAAATTTGAGATTTTAGTCCTATTATCATTATTATAACATTTATTCTGGCTAAAGTGTAATACAATTTACAAAGGATTCCAATTAGTCAAACCAGAGATGGGAGAAGTGAAAGAGAAGCGTTATTTGGTTTCTCATAAAAATGCAAGCGAACGTTTAATATAACACTTCGCTCCAAGAAATTGAAGCTTGTAATAACATTACAGTCTGCTTTTATCGAAAAGGCAAATTGTCTGCAAATTAAAAGGACTGAAGCAGTATACTGGTAGAATAAAGGGCGCTCACAAATGTACGTAGTATCACTGCCATCTAGCGTTCGCCAGTCAATATTGCGGTAAGAATATTAGCAGGTGGTGCCACGCTGTACAAATTCCTTTAGCGATTGATTTGTTTAACACGACTGTCCGCATTATTTGGAAGCACAATATAATTAATTGTAATTTTATAGTTTTACAAATAAATGCACAAAATATCAGGTGTATATAGACTTTTTAATAAGAGAACAATTTAAAAGAATATGAAGATGGTCCTTTCATCTGTTCTAACATTACTTGCTAAAAGACTATAGCCTTTTTTCAGGGAATCAGTTTTTTCAAAAACTGAGGACACTTAGTGCCGGAGATATCGTGCAGAACGTGATGGTATCCAACAAATCAGTAAAGTCACTGTTTAACCTAAGGCATCAGCAGGACTGGCCATACCCTTTCGGAAGCCCTAGGCAAAGCTTTACTTAGGAGTTTGGTCCCCCCCCCCGCCCCCGCCAAGAAAACTGCTTCCTCCACACCACAGGTAGTGCGGGGGCCCTAATCGACTGCCTATATATAGCTAGAGCTTTGATGTAGCGTCGTTGAGGTCAGAGGACAGTCGCAAAAGAAATGAATGGATCAGGATTTACGAATTTAGAAAAAGGCATTTACAACTGAATGACGTTTTTATCCTTTTTGTACATAGCATCACTGTCTAAATCTCTTTCATCCAGAGACCAATTTTAGTGTAACTGTAGCACCATCTAGCGTTTGGTGATGGCTATTGCATTCCTGACCCAGAAAAGCATCAGGAATACGGACTCATTTCCCGCAGCGATACGGAGAGAACATGCGACCTGCACGTGTTAGACGCGAACCTCGATCCTATAGGTGAGCAGCCCCCAATTTACTCCAAGACAACTGTATTAAGTGTGACTGATTCTTGACTACAGCAGGTCAACACTAAATGATCTAATGGTTCATAAAACCAAGATAACTGGCGTGTTTGGGGTAGACACGGGGTGTAAGGTAATGAACAATAATAATAATATAAAAAAAAAAAAACTTGTCTAGAGTAAATTTGTATAACCTAATTTATTGTCCACAACTTGAAATCTTTCAGTTGTAAGCAAATTACCCATCGTCACTTTAAAAATGACGACCATAGTCATCTCTCTTCTACTTACTGGGTCCATAATGTATATGGTGCAGGTATATTTACATGGTGCAGGTATATGTACGTGGTGCAGGTATACATATATAGTGCAGGTATATGTACATGGTGCAGGT